TGTATAAAATGTGCAGTTCAATTTATACTACAATGAATCATTCATACAAAAAAGTAAATTAGTAAAGTTAATGAAATAAATTCTGAACTAATAGATTATAATAATAATTTATCATTTTTAAAAGCAAGGATCATAACCATTTCTTGAGTCGTTAGTGGGTTAATGCATTTCTAAAATTAAGTTAGCGAAGTGAAACGCTATTTTATCTCATTAATTTTACTAATTTACTTTTTGAATAAATGATTCATTGTAATGTATATATATATATATATATATATATATATATATATTTGTAATATTTATATATTATATATTATAATGCATATATATATTGTAATATATATATATATATATTATAATACATATATATATATTGTAATATATATATATATATGTGTGTGTGCGTGTGTGTGTGAGTGTGTGTGTAGGTGGGTGGTGTGTATGTATTCATCAAGGAAGATGCCGTATTTTTTCTAACCCCAGTACTTTCGATCTTTGTCTTTGTAATTTGACTCTGAAAGTGATATTCCTTGATGAATTTCATCTTAACATCAAGAAACTGATTAGAGGACTGGAAAAGGATCATTATAAAATTAAATAGACGCAATATGTCTATTCGATGAAACATCTTGGATTGAAGATATGTTGTCTAAATATACACATTGAAAAGGCAAACCATAATCGAAATTAATAACATAAAAAACTCTCAATAGCAAAGTACAAGATATCCACAACAGACTTAAACACTTGACAACGCCTGAACAGTTTAATTAAATTCTACATAGACTTGCAGAAATTGAAACTGAACACCACCTGAACATTAAGAAAAAAGTAATACACTATATGCTAAAAAATTCCATAACTACAGCGAATAAATTAAAATTTTAAAAATAACTATAACAGAGCACGTTCATGGGTGTTTTAAGAAAAATCACCATCACAACGGAAAGCAGATTTTATTGCAGTTACAGTAATATGATCGCCTAAGTGTGTAATGATACACACTCAGTCGATCATGTATCTTTCGATACATGACTGACGAGGCAGATTTCCCGCAGTAGTTTGCCATTTCTTTATGCAGTAGACCGGTTGCCATCCAAGGCTATAGAACACAGTCTGTCCTGCTATTTACCCGTAGCTGGGGAGAGAAGAAGAGTTTTAATACCTTTCCCAATTGTATTAGCATGTAAGTGAATGTAATGGATGCGACTGGAATTCGAACTCAGCTCTCCGATTCCTCAATCCGAGCCGCCATCCATTCGAAAAGTTCGAAAGTACTTGGGTTAGAAAAAATTACAGCCTCTTCCTTGATGTGTTTCATCTTAGCATCAAACCTCTGATTAGAGAACTCAAAGGATCATATGTGGAAATCTCCGCTTTTACCTGAAGACGGTCACGAGACCAGAAACACGTGTAGTACAATTATGTAAAACAAAGCATAATATTTGTTTCTAAATAAATCTACATTACAACCAAAAACGTTTGCGGCACCTCTCTTCTCTTCTTTTTAATATACATACTTTTCTCATTGGAACCACTACAACCTCTTTCTTTTATATATATATATATATATATATATATATATATATATATATATATATGCAAGCACTTCAACATTATTTGGAAATAGCTATAGACTCACCATATTGCTACCTATAATCCTACCACAAAGCATCACATTGTTGTGGCCTTATTAGGGCCAATAAAGACACAAGAGAGAAAATATATCAAAGAAACAGTAATACAAACATATACAAACGAGATTGTTACAGCAAGTATGTTCGGTCCGACTGTCAGAGCTGACTGCTGGAAACTTTCCTCTTCAAAAGGCAGCACCTGCTCCTATTTATACTTGGGAGAGTTCATGCGTGCGTGGCTAAATTACCATAACACACATCATCACTGTTTTATTTACGTCTCAACCTATAAAGGTTTCCTTCTACCAGCCACACTCAACAACCTTTTAACTATCTATTTTAACACAGTATTTGTCGGGGAAAGAGTTGTTTTCATAAGATCTGAAGTGCATTTCATTCGATTTTACATATGGATGTCACTGACGCCAAGTAATCAGTTACACGTTTGCTTCATGATTTTGGACCCGACATCTTGTGCTTTGCGTCATACCATCTCTGCTAAAAAAAAAACTATGAATTTTATAGCTTGACAAAGATAGAATTTTTATAAAGTCTCTTTTGATACAGTGGACAGATTACTGAGTTAAAGCCATCAATTCGCATTTACAAAACCTGAATCGAACTTGTTCAGGATCGTCAATCAACTCATTCACAATCCTGTGATACACGCCGATCAGCTCTGAAGTTATTAAACATTTCTCTTTAACTGCTAAATTATCCTTACGGCCATTTCAAAGATTCAAACTACATTCAGTTCTCGTGATGAAACTACTCTCACAGATTGAGAACCTCTGAAACTAGTTTCCACGAGTTGCTATCCAGCTTATTCTCCCATATTCTATGCTGAAAAGGAGTATCACTAAAATCATTCTATGTGAGTTGATAGCTTAGCTCGAGGAAAAACATAATAAAAATATCCAAATATTGCAGTTTTTGTCTTTATTTTCTTCAGAAACTAAAGTCACTATACCAAGCTTAGAACGGCTCATGATCACACATAATAGACATTCGCTGTTATATTTAAGAATATATATATATATATATATATATATATATATATATATATATATATATTTATTTAAAGAAAAATAGACCACTTTTAAGGTACCATCATAATAATTTATTTCACCAGAGCCCTTTCTTCATAACTTAAATATATATATATTTCTTCATATATATTTTTAAACATAAAAATGTCTTTAATAAATAAATTGTCGGACTTTGTCCATTTCTTAATATATGACGTCATTTGTTTACATTTGATACGCCAGAGCAGTTATGAATGTACGAGATTCATGGAAGATTGAAGTTTATAAGCAGTAAATTCGACCTTGCCTACCGAACGCTACTTTGTGGCCGAGTCGGTTAAGGCACGTCAGCGTAAATGACGCTTCCGTATAGGATGCAGGTTCGAAACCTGTCAAAGGACGAATATTTTCTTTGAAAATTTCTCGGACATTCAGGCCGGTAAATGTTATTTAATACTGTTTATTATAAACAGAGCATTTACTTAAATACTTGTATCTATAAAAAAGAACGTTAAACATAAAAATGTCTTTTATATATATTTCTTAAAAATATATAATATATATATATATATATATATATATATATATATATAACCAAAAATTAAAATATATATATATATTTATAACCAAAACAGCGGTTGGAAATTTATTTCACCAGAGCCCTTTCTTCATAACTTATATATATTTGTACCAAATGTGTATTTATTATTAATATAATGTTTATTATTATTATTAGTAGTAGTAGTAGTGGTAGTAGTAGTAGTAGTACAATGTTGGCAGCTAACACGGAATGTTGTCACAGTACATTAGAGAGCAATGAAAAAAAACACATTTTTTCAGTTGTAAACTGCACTTTTCAGGTATCGTTTGTATGATTGTAACAAACAACCGTGAAAAATTTCCGATCATTTCATGCCCCCCCCTCTGCATCGTGATTGACGTTTTGTCAACTACTGTACAGCAAAAAATAAGAGTCATTTATTGTTTGCCAGAATAATAATAATAATAAATTGTACATCGGTGACATCAATTTAATTTCAATATTATTTAAGAAGTACATCATATTAAAATATTACAAGTTAATAGTGAAATATTTTTTTTTCTGCGGAACCTGAGCATCAATTTCCTAGACAATAAACTTTGCCTAATATATCCATCTCTCTCTTTTTGTATCTCATCACTTCAGTACAAGCTTCAGTCATCACTTTTATCCCTCTTTCTGCCGTCTGAGTAATGCTTAGGCATTTGGGCACTAATAATGGCGTCTCAAGAATGTCATTAACCTTTTGATCCGATAGAGAAGCAATGTAAGGCGGCTCAGACTTGAGTTCATTCAGTTAATCATGTACAGATATTTTTTTGTTTGCCACTTTAATTTGGGGGGTCACCAGTTTTTCTCATGTTGACTACAGGAGTCACATCCTCATTCCCATCTCAATCTTGACTGTCCTCCTCATCATCAGTGTAGTTTAACAAATCCTCGTCAACAGCAGAATCTGCTTTCTCCTCAACAGATCATTCTTTCATTTGCTGATTGTCCTCTCTAATTTTTGTTATTATTGAGACAGACTTTTCTCTAACATTCACGTCCTCATCTGCACACATACCAAGAAGAAGTTGATCTGTGCGGGTGAAGTATGCATTTCTCTGGTCAGTCTTCTTCACTATCGTCTTCTCGTTACTATTCAGGTTTTTTCATATTGTTGTAACCTAAAAGGGTTACTGAATGGGGAATAACCAAAATGGACGTTGGAAATGAAATGGTAATCTTTATAACATCAACAAAAATACAATACTCGCCAGCGGCGTGAAATAGGTAAACTACTGCTAGTGGTGGACTACTCAGACAACATATAACCCCCCCCCACTTACAATAGTATTCAACGTATTTATGAGGATTGGGACTTACCCATTAGTGTTCATAGGTACAGTATATAAAATTTATAAATAGAATACGTTCCTTGATCAGTGTGTTACGTAAGGGTGCATCTTGATGTAGAACCAGATTAGAATACTATAATTATAAGTGGAACACTTTATAATTCTAATGACGATTGTTATAAGCTCATGGCTGGGTCTTAATGCTATCAACAACACCTATAATAACTCCTTTTACAATTCCTATACAGGTAATTCTTCATTCAGGACAGGGAAATGAGTGAAACTGACTGGCTGGAAGGCAACAAATGGCAGCTCAGATAAAGGCTGCTTGATTTCCGTTCCAATGCTCAGGGCCGCTTGCTTTACCGTCATAGTGATAGAAAACAGAGCGGGATGGTGGCTCATTTCTATGAAGCTGACAGATAAAATAATGGAGCGAGTGACCCAGTAACATTTCAAGATGGTGAATGTCTCCATTTTCTAGTCCTACATGTACATTTGGTTCCATCATGACAAACACATACAATGGGCTGTTGGGTTATATTTTTCTCCACCAGAAACTCGGGAACAGTTTTAGCAATCTGCTTTCCATATCCAGTCTTAGGAGTCACATATGTGTGAGATAGACATTGCCAGGCTCAACCATTACGACATAATGATCTTGCATCATCATCCTCGAACTCCATTTATTGGTCTTTATCATCAGACGAGTGGCGGTCTTCTTACCAACCAAACACAGTGACGTCGTATTTTCAAAACTAGCCATCTGAATTTCTTGGCTTTTCAATCGATATTTTTATCTTGCATCTCGTAGCTTATGTGATCCATCTAAAAATATATATGGTTATCGCATATATATATATATATATATATATATATATATATGTGTGTGTGTGTGTGTGTGTGTGTGTGTGTGTGTGTGTGAAAAACGAAAGAGTACGTCCCACTTCTTTTGTTCCTCGTCTTGTTGAAAAAGGGCACAGGCGACTTTCAAATCATTCTCTTCGTGCTTCAATTTAGTCAAAAGGTTAATATATAATAAATATCATCTATCATATTGCTAATATTCTTACCAATTTGTGTGTGTATATATATATATATATATATATATATACACACACACACACACACACACACACACATATATATATATATATATATATAGAGAGAGAGAGAGAGAGAGAGAGAGAGACAGCTGTGTTTTGACTATTCCGCCACTTGTTTTAATATATATGTTTATATTATATGAATATATACTTTAAAAAATGACCTTTTTTAAAAGCCGTAATAAGACAAATAACATTGATTGATTGAAATTAATTTCATTGCCTGTTTTACAGTTTTTATCACAAGGTTTCGACTGCATTTTTTTCTGCAGCCTTCCTCACGTATCTGTTCTATTTTTGAATGTCAAATTTTTATTCTTCGTGACTATTACATGTTCTTATGTAAATTACTATAGCAAATTCCCATGCAAATTGTTAATGCTAAAAGTAGTCGTTTTGAAAGATTTACCGGTTTTTCATGAACATTTCGTAATCATTGATTATAAATTTTTAAAAGTTTTATTGTTAACCCCTCCCTCACAACCAAATCACTGTTTCTTTTCAAAGACTTTCGTCATATAGCATAAGTATCACAATTGCTTATCTTGGCCACTACGTTCTTTGAACCGTCTTTATTTTATTTGCTTATTGCATTGCATGTTGACCCCACCACCTTTTTGCTGTAGTTTGTATCTACGCCTTTTTTGTTTTTGTCTATTTTGTAAACCCATCATCGGATTTTTATTTAATACAGGGAAATTTCAATTAAAGTTATAAACTGAATAAATAGTGTCTTCCACCTTTATTTGCGAGATTTAATCTCTTTTATCCAAACTCCTAGCCTTAATTTAAAAACGACTTCGAGCAGTGTCAAAGAAACGGACCCTAATTCAATATGTAGCATGTGATTCAAACCACGAAAAAACAGTGATTGCAATCGAATTTAATATCAACCAGGAATCTTTGATTGTAGAAGAGATGATCTCTGATGACCTCAGTATATACTGCACTCATCCCAAGATAAGGGTTCCCAAACAGTACGGCTCGCCTCATAAGTCTGGCGGAAGAGGATAGCAGGTGAGGCAGAATAATTGAAAGACAATCAAAGATTTAAAAACAGTTTTTTAAAAAAATTATATATAAAAAATAAATATGATTTCAAAATTAAATATTATTATGGATTACTTGTAATTGCATGAGTACCAGTATAAATAGTCATAAATAATTATTGACCGATTTTAGCATTGTGATATTTTTGTATTATATCAAGTATTAAGAATATTGTAAACAGGCTCCGCAAATTGGAGGAGAGCGTTATCAATTATATTGTTTTGAATTCGAATCTATTCATATCTCCCTTTAACCCACTTTCTATTTTTTTATTTTTTTATTTTTAAATGTACTTATTATCACATAAAAGTTGGCGGGGCGCTAGCAAATTTTCATTCTGAAAATGTGGCCCAGATAAAAGTATTTTGGGAGCCACTGCCCCAAAAGATAGTAAGCTTTGTACTTAGTCTTATATCTGAACTTAGAATATACACATTCAAGGCAACAGGATGACGATGATGAAAGTAGAGTCCCACATATCCTCGCGAGAAGAACGAATGTTTGATGAACGTCTCTACATACTTTGATTTTCGACATTATTGTGACCGGTTCAAGAAGTGAATAAACAATAATTTTAACTATGAAAGATTTATTATACGCTCTATTTACATGCAAACTATTGTTCTCATCTTAACTGTTGTTATTCCAACGTTTCGGCCTTCATCATTTTGTATGCCGAATCGGGTAACCTACAGGGAATTCCGAAATAAACCCATTTACAATTTACAGGCGTAGACTTTTCTCGTTCTAGTACTCTTGTCTAGAGACATCTCGTCTAGTTCTTATTTTTTACTACATATTCAGTTATTCTTCTTCTTTTATGTACCGTGTCCCCTCAGGACGTAGGCGAACGTGGGCTTCTTAATAAGTTTTGTCTTTTTGTTATGTCTCTTAAACCCTGTTCTACCATCCATTTACTCGACTGCATTAAGTATGTTACGCACTGCTTTTCTCTGTCCCTCTTGCCCTCAATCTGTCCTGTGAGTATCAGATTTTCCAAGCAATCCTTCCTTATTACATACCCTAGAAATTTTAATTGCCTCCTCTTAATGTTAAGTATAAGTTTCCTTTTTGTTTCCATTTTTTCCAAAACCTCGTTTTTGCTCACATGTTGGGTCCATGGTATTCTCAGTATGACACTTCCTGTTTCCACTGAGTCCACGTACACACCGACGGACCAGGGATTGGAGTCATAATTAATGTTACAAAATTCACGAACCAACGCTTTAATCTATGAAGTTCTTGTCCCGTGGAGGCAAATAATCAAATTTAATTCAGTTCGGATTTACAGGTTACAGCCGGAATGTGATAAATACAACAAGAATAAGGACAATAGCCCACATGTAAATAGAGTAAATAATTGTTATGGGACCTTACCCATAATAATATAATGGACTATTCCATACGTAATAAATACTGCGCCTCAAGAAGAAGCAGGGAGTTCAGTCCGAAGTCGGGCGACCGGCGACCGGCTGATCGGTTGAACTCTCTGCTTTCGGGTGAGGAGGAACCCAAACGAGGCTACGCCGAAGGGCGGAGTCTCTTTCGGGGAGGTAAACCGACCCTGAACCCGTTTATACGGGTTCAAAGGGCATATTTTTGGACGAGCCCACGGGCTCGGAGATCTCATGGGCTCGGAGATCTCACGGGCTCGGAGATCTCACGTTAAACCGGCCTTGTGCCGCATGATGCCCTCGTGGGGGGGCTAAATATCGTTCAGCCTGAAGTCGGGCGACCGGCTGAACTCTCTGCCTTCGGGCGGGGAGGAACCCGAACGAGGCTACGCCGAAGGGCGGAGTCTCTTTCGAGGAGGTAAACCGACCTTGAACCCGTTTATACGGGTTCAAAGGACATATTTTTAGCCGAGCCCACGGGCTCGGAGATCCCACGTTGAACCAGCCTTGTGCCACATGATGCCCTCGTGGGGGGGGGGTGACTAAATACCGTTCAGTCCGAAGTCGGGCGACCGGCTGACCGGCTGATCGGTTGAACTCTCTGCCTTCGGGCGGGGAGGAACCCGAACGAGGCTACGCCGAGGGAGGAGGTAAACCGACCCTGAACCCGTTTATCGGAGATCCCACGTTAATTCGGCCTTGTGCCACATGATGCTCTCGTGGGGGAGGGTGACTAAATACTGTTCAGTCTGAAGTCTGGAGTGAGGTCCGTCAGAAGTCCGTCAGGAGTCTGTCAGTCAGTCAGAGCGAGCGAGTCAGTCAGTCGAGTCAGAGGTAGACTGAAACAGAGTCGCGTTCAGACAATTACTACTAAACCTGATTGTTTGTACTAACACCTTCTACTTCTCTGTATATATTCCTGTTTGTAATATATCTGTGTTATTCCATAAGCGTGTTCGAGTTCTTCTTTATTGGTTCTACCTTGAACTATCACCGTAGTACAAAGAACCGGACCATAACAATAATAATAATACCTTATCCGTGATTTTCAGACACAAATGAAAGATTTAGATGTTACTAACATTACGTTTTTTGAAATTATGTTACAAAGAACATTTAGGTGTTAAATTTTTGAGTCTGAAATTCCCTGTTTTTGTTGTCATTGAAAATAATACGTGCAAACGCCACACTGATTATATCATTTTAATATTATTATATTATTTTAACATAATATGTGGGCCGATTCCTTCAAACATTTTATTTTTCATTATCATTCGTTGACTTTTATTTACCCACCTCCACACATGATCAGCTATGACTGATGTTATACTTTTTCCTACGTTATTAAGTTAAAAGCAGAGATAAAAATATACCGATACCTGAGATGCAATCTGAGAAACCTAGCCTCACCGCTGAGCCATACTTAATACAGAAAACTTTTCGCTGTTTAATTCGCACAGCGTGTTCTGATTTGGGTTTAGTATCGGGAGTTTCAATCTCAACTGTTATTTTCCAGTTTAACAATGCATTAAAAAGCTGCGCACAAAAGAGAAAATCAGAGAGTTGTTGGTAAGTAATTTACAGCAAGCAATATAGCAAAGGGCTTACATTATATCCTATTACGACTTATCAGGAAACACAATCGCCTCTTTAAAAGCGCTTTATTCAAGATCACAGCAGGTGGGAAGTCTATCTAATCCGTTGAAATATTCATCACTGGAAATGATTAGTTCGCACTTAAAACAATTGTCACATGCCTTCACAACGATAGAATCTTCAGGCGAATTGAAACACTCGTACAAAAATTTAAAAAAAAAAAAAACCGGAAAAATCAGCCAATTGTAATGTCTGTAGATTCATGGTATTTCGTAGCTTTGAACTATCGGATTTCCCTGTTGTAAAAG